ATATGTGTACAAAGACAAAAATGAAGAATAAACAGACTTAATATAAAGAGTTTTAAAGATTTAGAGAATTTATTTAAAAGATTTTACAAATGTAACGTGAAAATAGAAAGATTACTTTGGGGTATAAAGATTAAAAAAAAATTAAAGACTACACAAATTTAACACTCGGAAATTAAAGATAAATAATAAAAAGGGATATTGGAATACATAGATCGAAAGGAATCTTGAAAATTTTTGTGTTGATAGTTCAAAAACAATAAGGTAAAGACAGTTTAAAGATTGCATAGATTTAGAGCTTGTTAGTTTGGAAGAAGGTATCTTTGAGAGAGTTTTATATTAAAATATGGATAAACATGTGTATAAAGACAAAAATGAAGAATAAAGAGACTTAATATAAAGAGTTCTAAAGAATAGAGGATAATTTATTTTAAAGACTTTACAAATGTAACGTGGACAATAGAAAGATTATTTTGAGGTACATAGATTCAAAAAAAGACTAATAAAAAGGGAGAGTATCTTGAAAACTTTTGGTTTCAAAGATATAGATTTAGAGCTTGCAATTTGAAGGAAAGTATCTTTGAGAAAGTATTATATTAAAATATGGATAAATGTTTGAATAAACAGACTTAAAATAAAGATTTTTAAAGATATAGAGAATTTAATTTAAAGACTTTACAAATGCAATGTGAAAATAGAGAGATTGCTTTGAGGTACAAAGATTCAAAAAAAAATTAAAGACTGCATAAATTCAATACGCGGAAATTAGAGAAAAATAATAAAAAGAGATACTGAAATATATCTGGAAATATCTTGAAATTTATTGTGCTGAAAGATAAAAAAACAAAAGGAAAAAATAAAATATTTGAAATTTAAAGATTTGACAGTTTTAGAACTTGAAATTTGAAAGAAAAACTTTTTTTGTAAAATTGTTATTATGAAAGATGGATAAGTGACAGAAATGAAGAATAAAGAGACCAAAATAAAGACTTTTGAAAATTTAGAGAAATTATTTCAGACTATAAAAATGTAATGAGATAATGGGAGATTACTTTGAAGTATGTAATTACAATAAAAAAGTAGAATTTGAAGGAAAGAATTGCAAGAAAATGTAAAGACACTCGGAAATTAAAAATTTTTTTAAGTGAACTGTAAGGGGATTGAAAAATAAAGATTTTTATGCTTTGAAAGGCTTTAAAAAGGAGTTTCAAAATTGAAAAACTGAATTGTTTTGAGATATAAAAATGCTTTCAATAAAAAGTTAGAAAACTTAGGGATTAGAAAATCAGAAGGACAAAAATACTGGAAAATATGGAGATTAAAAGATACTTTGTGGAAACCTAAATATAGACTAAATAAAGAAAGAAAAATAACTAATTAAAGATATCATTAAGAATAAAGACAAATGATCAAGATTAGAAGATAAGCAGTTCTTCAAACACCATTACAAAAATTAAAGTAAAACGACTTGATGAAAAAGTTTTTAAAACTGAAAAATATAAAATAAAGCGTAATTTTAAAATCCAGTAGGGTGAATAAAAAAAACACACAGTCGAACTCTCAAAAATGTTTATATTCGAAGTTGAATGAAGTTTTTATTCTAAAATCATGATAAAATATTACAATTTGTTCCACTTTCCAATTATTTCAAACAAAACATTTTGTGAAATTTGAATAAATCTGGATTTTGCTCAGATTTTATTCCATTACTTCTTACTTAAGTCGCGAAATGGGCAATAAAAATGCGATTATTCTCTCTTGTTTCAGACAGTTTGTAGTGTTTTAAGACAAAATCAGAAAACTGCACACCTGGCAAAAAGGTAAAACTAATTATATGCAAACTTCCGGTAACAAAATCCGGCTGTAATGTAGCGAAGTAATTTATTCGAGTTTCGTGTGTATCATATAACTAATGGAAACACAAGATTAGCTTAATTTAGAGTGGTTTCTAAACTACCATTAATAAATGTCTGATCAAAGTGGTCTGTGACTTACAAATTAAGTGTTACCAACTTATTTTTTTTTTAAATGTACTTACACTGGAAATAGGCCGATATTTTACAGGTGTACTCTCCGAAGCTGTAGATGGAGGTGTAGGCGGCATAAGCCGCATTTGGCATGCAGACGAGGGCCACCAAGAGGTCGGCCACCGATAAGTTCACTAGGAAGTAGTTAGTGACGCTGGAAGAGAGAAAACAAAGAAATTACATAGTTTGCACAAAGCTGGGATCAAATTTGTTGTGTGGAGTAAATGTTTGATTGTTTACGCTTTTTATTTGTCAAGCAAATGTTAGAGTTGGGGTAAGCTAAGAAGGTTTTCTTTAGTCCTCTCTGATTTAACTTCTAAAAGGAGATTTATTTCCTTGAAAGTTTGTTTTCATCTAGTAGATGAACTTTACGAACGTCGTTTTATTTAGAGTTGAAGGAAAAAAAATGCTCAAGTCGAGATTCAAGCTCCTAATTTGGCCAATCTTGAGTAAAAAAACTATTAGATTAATCAAAAAGTTTGGCAACTACTTTTTTACTTTTGGTTTCTGCGATTTTTAGAATTTTCGAATTTCTATAGTTTTTTTGTTTTTACGTATTCGTTTTACGTTTTGACATTGTTACGCCTTACGTTTACGTTTTTAAATTCCAATAGTTTTTTATTTTAAATTTGTACCTTTTCTTCTTGCATTCTTAAAATACAAATTTTTATGTCAACGTTTATGCTTTTTAAACCTTGTGTCCCTAAGCTTTACGTTCTTACGGAGAATAGTTATTTTTCTTATAAAATTATGCTTACGTCCTAACAATTTTACCGTTCTTACATTTTTTTACTTTAAAAGGAGAAATAACTTTTATAAAATTGAACACTACGTTTACGTCTTTACGACTGCGATTTTAATGGTTTTGTCTTTGTATTTTACGTTTGCGTTTTTAACGATACAGCTACAGTGAAAATAATATGCGATTGCGTTCTTATGTTTATGTAGACATTATTGTTATCCTTACGTTTCTGTTTCTAAATCTTTACTTTCCAATGCTGTTTTGCTGTTGTTTTTATTTTATTACGTATACGTTACGTTTACGTTAAATTGCTACTCAAGTTTTTTAGAGTTTTATGTTTAACGTTATTACGTTTTCTCTTACGTTGCATATATTCAAATTTTTATTTTATTTTCTTACAATTCCAGGTTTCAAGTTTCTGCGTTCTTACGTTAATGTCTACGTTTTTTAATTTTGCGTTCTTAAGTTTTGCATTAACGCTACGCAGAATATTTTTTTATAAAATTTAGCTTACGTCCTAACAGTTGCTTGTTGTGATTACACTTTTAAAATTTTACAATTGCGTTTTTAAGTTTTTACGTTTTTACCATTCTTACGTTAAAAGAAGTAACGTTCATTAAATTGAACACTACGTTTACGTCTTTACGATTGCGATTTCAAAGTTTTTTTTTTAAATAGCGGTTTTGTCTTTGAATTTTACAATCTTACGTTTACGTTCTTAACGATTTGGATACAGCGAAAATAACATGCAATTGCATTCTTATGTTTATGTTTGTGTAAACATTATTATGGTTTCTTAGATTTCCGTTTTTAAATCTTTACTTTTCAATGCTGTTTTATGTTTTTATTTTATTTACGTATACGTTACGTTTACGTTATGTTTCACGGTCTTACGTTTCCTCCTACGATTTATATATTCAAATTTTTATCTTATTTTCTTATAATTTTAGGTTTCAAGTTTCTGCGTTCTTACGTTAATGTTTACGTTTTTTAATTTTGCGTTCTTAAGTTTTGCATTAACGCTACGCAGAATATTTTTTTATAAAATTTAGCTTACGTCCTAACAGTTGCTTGTTGTGATTACACTTTTAAAATTTTACAATTGCGTTTTTAAGTTTTTACGTTTTTACCATTCTTACGTTAAAAGGAGAAGTAACGTTCATTAAATTGAACACTACGTTTACGTCTTTACGACTGCTATTTTAAAGGTTTTTTACATAGTAGTTTTGTCTTTGTATTTTACATTCTTACGTTTGCGTTTCTAACTACAGTGAAAATTCTATGCGTTCTTACGTTTTGTTATTTTATTTACGTATACGCTAGGTTTACATTAAAATGCTACCAAAGAAAAATTTTTAAGTTTCAAGTTTTTACGGTCTTACGTTAACGTTTATGTTTTTTGATTTTTATTTCCAAACTTAGCCTAACATTATGCGACTATGCGCCTATCCTTCTTTTTTGTATTATGTTATATTTTGTAATTATTTTGTCATTTTGTATATTTTTTGACTTGTCTTTTTTTATATTTTTTACATTCTTACATTAACGTTTTACTTTTTAAAATGCATAAGGTTTAACGATAAGGATTCGCAGTAATTATCTTTTTATTAATTTACATATACGTTCTTACGATTGCGATTATGGTTACGTTTTTGCGACTTTTTTTTATTTTGCAATTTTTCCATTACGAATGCAATTTTTCTCATTCTAGGTATTTATCTTACGTTTCATTATTGTTACGTTCACGCTTTTTTACAATTCTAATATTCGAAATGAAAATTCCTGCCTTGTACTCTACTTAATTAATTTAATTAATTTACGATTTAATGAAGGATTTCCTTTTTTCCTTCATTTGACTTTGGCTAGTGTTATGAGGAATTTTACAGCCGAATGTTGAATTTCATTAGTTTCAGGAGGAATTCTAGTGGCATTTCAGGTATTAAAACTTTTCAAGGTTCCACGAATGACTAGGGATTATCCAACAGCTTTCGTCATGAAAATTTCTAAATAAACATTTAATTTCGCGTCTGCTAAAGATAAGAGCGAAATTAAAGCCTTGACAAGGCTCGACTATTAATGAATTAACTTCCAAGTAATAATAATTAGTCGTTTTTACAAACTGTCAACATTTTCTCAAGTTAAAATGAGAATACAAAGTGTGACACGGGAAAAACAGACAACAAATTGTTTTTTTTTGTCTCACTTTGTCGAAATATATCTTTAGATCTTGACAGGCGAACATATTGGAATGTATAAGCAACCGGCCTGAAAAATGACTCCTGAAAATTCGAGAGTACTGCAGAAAATAAGAATAAAAGATGCCTACACTGTGTATGTTTTATTTTCAGGTTAATAAACAAATCCTAAAAATACGCGGTTTATTTTATCCTGAAAAAATATCAAACAGATGTAGAATTATCTCGAATTGAAATTGTAATTGCTGAAAAACTCTATTACAGAGCGAAATTAAAGCAAAACACTTCGAAGCCACAAAGTAAGAGTTTTTTCAGGATGAATCATCGGCTTTCAGGCCCAAAACTGTTAACGTCAATTGCACGCAAATGGAGGCAAATGGAGTTAGCGATATTTTATGCACCAGATCCGAGGATGGGAACGACGGAAATTCGGTTTTCAAGTTTTAAATTTCAGAAAGTTGGGTAATAATTCACAACGATTAATAACTTGTCGCTTTGACAAATTACAAAATTATTGTCTTGAGTTGAGAATTCGAAAAAACCTTTTCCAACTGTTTGTTAATGAATTTTTTATTCACTTGTATTGGAAATGTCGTTTTTTGCTAGTGGAAAAAATCGGCTTAAAATCGAAACACAGAGATAAAAGGAGGAAAAGAAGGTTAAAACTCTCAAACATTCTCCCTCATGTTGTGTATTTGTTGTTTAGCTTGTTTGTTTTAATATTACCTTGGCTGTTGTGTTGGGATGACCTTTAATGAACTTGATTTCTTATTAAAATCTACTTAATTGATATTTAATTAAACTGTCACAAATGGGTAAATATTAATAATTTATTAAAAATATTTTTAAGCTCGAGAAGTTGTGGCGATGCAAGCAAGCAATTTTAATTTGGACGACTTTGTGATTTATCCCGTATGCATTTTCGTCTCATTTTCTTTTGAAATTGAGATAATTGTTGTATAATTACCTCACTTTGGTTTAATTTATTTGAATCACATTTGAATTAAGTCTGATTTTGGTAAATCATGTTGTTAATTTTTCGTCTAATTAATTTCTCACAATTGAAATGTAAATAGTTGAAGTGTGATAATTAGTTTCATTGCTTTTGAACACGTTTGAAGAAACGTTGAGGTGAATTTATATAAAATTCGGCCAGAAATGTGTACAAAACTATTCTCGTAATAGTTAATGTTAAATTAATTTGTGTTTTTTATTTTTTAACTAAGACAATTTATTCCTAATCACTTAAAACTATTGAAAATTTAATTCAGAAATTTGTTGAATAAAAATCGGGATGATAAATAAAACGTCACGATTTACTAAAAACAGATTAAAATAAAATGACCCCAAAATAAATTTTATAATGTGAGGAAATTTCAATTTTTGAAAACAGAATTATAACAGATTTGGGCGTTGCAAAGTATCACAACTTGTTTCAAATTCTTGCGGGCTTGTGGGTCGTTATTGTTGGCACGACTGACTGATTTCGAGGTTGGTATTACTGCAAGTGAAATAATTTCGCCAATGCGTCAATTTTTAACAGCGGAGCGTCATWTCTGAATYGAAGAAAAGTGAAATTTGGTTTGAAAATAACAAACAGTTGTACCAACACTAAATTGGCGTTTTTGGCCATTTGAGAGGAAGCCAACTGTGTGAATTCATCCGTCAAACGTAACCTCACTGTTTTAACAGTTTAGTTACCTGGCAACGCAATTTAAAATTATTTTTAAACTTGACCTTGACTGTCTATAAGAATTTGAAACGACTTTTACATTGTTGCATTAAATAAAAATGTAAAATTCAACKTTTCGTTGCGTGATTCACTTATCGATTTGAAAACTGTTTAAATTTCAGATTTTAAGTATCAGAAATGTGATTTTTGTGGTAAAAGTAAACAAAAAATTAATAAAAAATGTTTGGACATTTATTTGATTTAGAAAATGGTGAAAAATAACCAATGAAACATCATCTCGACTGAAAGACGAAAATGGTGGTTATCCAACTGTAATTAATTGTAACAAGAATCTAATGGGATGCAATTTTTGACTTAACAATAAATAGATCAAGGACGAAATCATAAATTAACCCTTGAATAACAACACGAAAAGTGGTGGATGCGCCGGACAATTTTTTCAACACATTTTTCTAAATTACTGAAAAACGTGAAAAATTATTTTAAGACAATCGCAATAATATTTATTTTAAAGTAGACCGTTT